TACATCGTTGTTCATGATCTTCATCTGGGTGTATGGCGCTGGCCTCTGGGAGGCTGTTTCAGTGCAGCGCTAGACTCTGAGAGTGGAGTAGTGAGTGGGGTGTGTGGTACTGGGGTGGCGAGATACTGGGTTGAACTCTGGAACGATAATTGAAGTTAATTGTGTTGAGTTGGCTCATCATCAGGGTTACTTTCCAATTGTGATCTTCGCAGTGTCAATTGTGATTGGTTGTTGGGAGTGTGTCAGGGAGAAAGAAACACCGAGTGTATTCTCCCCTTCTGTGCATAATTGCTATTCCGTTGTTTATCTCTGATCTGTGTGCAGTTGGACTTTGTCTCCTCCTCCCCTTGGTCTCATGCATGTATGGGCGTGTGTGAGTTCTTTTGTGTGTGAGTGGCAAATAAATTTTCAAACAACCAAGTTCATAACAAAAGTAACATAGGTTGTAGAGGGAAGGCAAATTAGACAGAGAGAGAGGGGGGGGAGAAGGCTGTATCGACAGGTGTTCAACACCAGAGTTGTAGCTGTAACATAGGTTGTAGTGGGAAGGCAATTCAGACGCACAGACACAGAGAGAGGGAGAGAGAGAGAGAGAGAGAGAGAGAGAGAGACGGACAGACAGAGATTGGTTGTAGAGGAAAGGAAAATCTGGCAGAGAGAGAGAGAGAGAGAGAGGGTTTATCTTCTTGTTGTTTGGTGGCTGACGGCCATACCTACCCAGTCAGTTGTACACAAACTTGTTTGAACTTGGGAGGGACAGGAGCTAGTAGTTGGCCGTTAGAAAGGTGGACTCAGGAAGTTGATTACAACATAACTCGAGTTCTCATATTTTGTGGCTTTGGTTTCCATCTCGCCTTGCGTTCTACAGTGAGAATGTGCAACTCGGAGTGAACAAGTGATGTTGATTGATGCATGAAGCTCCGACTCGTTGTATGATCATTGATTCAGAGGAGTCTTTCATGAGGGAATGAAGGTGTGGTCGAATGACAGTGTGATTGCAAAAACCTTGCTTGAACTTTGGTCCTTTTGTGTGTACTATCCCATGAACTGCTCCAAAGAATGTGTGTTTTTTCTTCTCGTTTTGGCCATCCTGGTCAATTATGAAATCCTCCCTCGGTGTATTCACTCAGAATTTGGCTAAGTTCCTCGTTGTTAACGAGCATGCAAATGCATGTGACTGAGATGTGAGAGGAGTGGAAAGGAGAACCACTTCACCAAGAGTATGTCCAAGCAAGCATTATTGGCCAGAGGAGGGTGATCAGCAAACCGGGTTTCTCCCCCCTCCTTTACTCAGTGTTTTTGCCTTTTGACGAGCTCACAGTTATACCTTGACCAGCTTCAGCATCTTCAGCTGAAACATGGGGCTCAAATGCATCTACCCCAAGGGGCACCCGAAGCTGTGTACGGGTCCCAGAACTTTTGTCCGGGTAGACTGTGAGGACCTCGGACGGGTCCCGGTACTTTTGTCCGGGCGGACTGTGAGGACCCCGGACGGTTCCGAGTACTTTTGTCCGGGTAGACTGTGAGGATCCCGGACGGGTTCCAGTACTTTTGTCTGGGTAGACTGTGAGGACCCCGGCCCCAATTTTCTATGATGAATGGATTGAGGGCATGCTCACACTAGGATTTTTTCTTCTAAGCTCTGGACGTGATTGTAGTCGGATTCATGCAGGTCTGGCCGTAGTTGCAGTCATATACATCTAGGAAAATGCTATTGTAAGCATGCCCTGAGACTTTAAACCCAAAAAACAAAAAGAAAAGAATGCGGCTGTCAACAGGCTTCTTACGCATGGGAAGGACCTTTCCTCAAAGCATCACAACGACCAGGGCAACAAGATGCCGCATGCCCGATTATGGCGTTCTTCCGCGGATTCCAATCTCTGCAAAGAGAGAGTAGAGAACCCATAGCCAAACTGCGAGACCCTCGATCTGTTCCCACGACCTTCGGTACCCAAGTATCATGGCCGTATCGTTGACAGGCTAGTAAGCGCATGACCCCCATGTAGACGACCATTTTTCATCCCAGCAATTGCTGGATTTCTTTTTCCCTTTCCTTTTACGGATAAATCGTCGAGCTTCCCAAGGTCTGTCCAGAATTGTTGATTGCCCTTTTTGCTGGATGCAAGAAGATCCCAGTTTCAATGCCCTCACGTGAGACGTGAAGAGGGACAATAATAAGAAGAGGCGGTGATGTAAGTAGGGCCAG